CGACTTATGTTATTTGCTTTGGAGCTTCAAGATGACAACTCCTTTATCTTGACTTATGTTATTTGCTGAAGCTTCTAGATGAGCATTTATCATGACTATATTAGTTGCAAGACTGAAGATATTTGCTTTATATATGTTTTTAGTTGAATAATGGTCGTGGTTCATGGTTGTGATGGCTGCTGCTGTGATTCATGATTGTGAATTGCCTTGATTCTATTTTGGATCTCTTTGCTGAATGAATGGGCATTGATTCTATTTTCCCTTCTATTACGACCCATTTTCCATTCACTTTTTATTTACCTCTATTTGGGATGTTTTGTTGAACTTAATCGTGATTAAGTCATAGAGATTAAAAAAAAGAACGGAAGCTATACCTGAATCGATTGCACAGATCTGAAATTTGGGTTTTGGATCTTCTAATCTTGAGGGTTCTCTCTTGGGATTTCTCTTTAGATGAGGATAAGAGAATAAGAACTCAACCCTAACATTAGGGACCATAACCTCTTTATATACACTTGCAGTTTTCTAATTTAGTCCCTCATTAAATTATAATTGTAATCTGGTATCTGCACAATTAGCCCATGACATATATAAATAACCATTGACCCAATTACCTGATTGATCACTTTATGTGGGTCAACTACAAATATAGCAACACACACTGATATAACATATGTGCCCATAAATAGATTTAATTAAACTTAAATCTAACATGTTTAGCTCTGTCGGTTGTATAGAAAAATTTGACATATACAGGGAAGATTTTTTGTCTGTTTTTGTTTGTTACAGGGTAGAGATGCCCATGAGCTGATTTCCTATATTAAAGTAAATTCTTAGCAAGTCATCTTCACACTTCCCTTGCCTTTTGTTATCAAAAAATTGATGCGACTACAGCAGCATAAGGCTCTTGTTTAGGGTTTTATGCATATTCTTTTTGGGGTAAATATATCACAAAATTTCTATATAGGATTCCTTCATTATCTATGTGTCATATAACAGATTTGGTTTTCTTGTTTGACATTTTGCTTGTTGGAGGGTAGACTGTAGAGTGTTGGGCAGTTTTACTCTATTTTTTAGTTATAGAGTACATATATACATGACGGGGTTTCCTAGTCTAACCAAACTCATAAGTAATAAAATTATATTTTATTTTATTAAAAGAGCATATAATGGCCAAGTAGCTCCTCTTTCCTTTCCATCTCCTACTCTAAACAAACACCTATTGTAGTGCATCGTCTCATCCCCTCATTGTCTATCCAATACAAATGAATACATTCCACTCTTCCCCTTTCCACTCCATCTCCTTCCCCTTGGGTTTCAGTCAATCACTCTCATTCCCTCCCTTCCTTTGTATCCAAACCGACAGTAACAAAGTAATTTGCTCTTCCAATTGTTTTCATTTTATTCTTTAGATCATTATAGTCACAATATATTTTCCCTTGAAAATCTTTTTAATTGTCATATATTCATCCCATTCCCAATCGTGGTATATATAGAAAAAAGAAGTATGCTACATTAATATATATGTTTTAAATGTTTTTAGTAAGAAATTGTAGGCTGTCTAAAAATCACAATAGATAGCTGATCCCCATCAAAACACCGATGATGGAAGTTACAATCTGACGACTTCCAGATGGCTATAATTTGAAGACTTTCACGTAGATCGCTAAAGGTTACAATCTGACGACCTTCACGACAACTGATGGAAGCTCTAATCAAACAGCCTTCATAATCAACATCGAGAGTTACAATCTGACGACTCTCATATATCAGAGAGCTAAAACAAAGATTACAAAATGACGATCTTTGCAACGCTTCGACAGAAAGAGACTACAAATCGACGGTCTCTTCAAATCAAACTGCGAAAGTCCTCCCCGCACACCAGCATCAAGATGCACCGTGTTCATAGCCACGAACGCAGCGCAAACATAGCTCCAAAAGCTGCAAACGCAGCTCAAACGCAGCTGCCATCTGCTGCCAAACGCAGCTTCCAAGCTACCAATCGCAGCTCAACGCAGCTCCAAGCGCTGCCAAACGCAGCTGCCATCTGCTGCTCAACGCAGCTGCCATCTGCTGCTCAACACAGCTCCAAGCGCTGCCAAACGCAGCTGCCATCTGCTGCTCAACCAGCTTATCAACCGCTGCCCAACGCAGCTTATCAACCGCTGCCGACGCAACTCATCCATCACTGCCCAACGCAGCCCGTCAGTCGCTGCCAAACGCAGCTCAATCACCGCCAGAACGCAGGTCAAGGTTCTGACTCATTCAAACGTGATCGTAACAACTTCGAAGCTGTTCTTCACCCACGATTTGAGGAGTGGCTTTAGTGGGTTGTTACACCCGACTAATGGGGTAACTAAACCCCCATTTAGGCGCGGATTATGGGGGCAGTTACACCCCTAATCCCCCTATAAATAGCAACAAACTCAACAGAGTAAAGGATCTTTTTTTTTGGATTGGGGAGATCGGATTTTTGATAATCAGATCAAGAGAGATTTCTTTTCATTAATCGGAGGGGGATCTTTCGATCAAATCTTCCAGAATCAGAAAAAGGAGGATTGACTCCTTACACAGTCTGGGAAATCAACAAACGGAGGATCTCTAAACCATCGATATTTGGCTTATTAACCGAATTATTTTCGGTTCCAACAACTCTATCATTAGAGTTTGTTACTTGTTCTGAATCACAAAACTCGACAAGAGTTATCAACCGGCCAAGACAGTTGTTCCAGTGAAGTATAGATATTCGGATCGTCAACGAGAAGCAAACTCGACGCAAGCATTCGAGGGAGGCATCTCATCGCTACCGTGAAGAACCCAGAATTAAACAAAGGGGAGAATCCAGATCATTCTCTTTTCTTTTGTAACCAGGAATCCAAATTGTAATCGAGAGTTGAGAGAGTTGTAATCATTCTTTTTCTAAGCAGTTAGAGAGAATAAAATCAAACGCAATTCTTTCCTTATATTCTTTTTATTACAAAATTTCCCACAAACAGAAATACATACATATTCTTACGTCAGAGTTTGGATTTTTATCTAAATAGAGTATAAAATGGAACATTTTACAATTTTCCATTGGAAGATGCGTGGATTCGGATCCTCTCCACTACAAAAAATATAGTGGAGGGACCACTACATAATCACAGCCATTGATTATCTAGTTGATGGTTATGATTTTTTCTTTTAGTGCAAATTAGGAATGAGTGCAATACACGGGGGTATGGTAAGTGTTAGATTTAGATTGTATCATAACCACCTACTAAATAATCAACGCTTGAGATTAAAAATAGTGGTCTCTCCACTACTTTTTTGTAGTGGAGAGGATCCAAATCCAAGATGCGTACGATTTTTGGATCTAGAATCATGTGCATATAAAAACAAATGTGAAGATGTGAAACTGAAAGGTATTATAAGCGAATCATGTAGAGGCGCGAGATGAATACTATGCAATAATCGTAGTCTTCTTTAACATGTAAATACTTTAGAGAGATAAGGAAAAAATATTACCATTCGCTTTAAAGGTGGTCTAGGGCCGTCACCTAAGAGCATCTCCAACCCAAAATTATAAAATAATGTAGTTTTTACACCAAGTTGGTATAGTTTTTACACCAAATCACTATTCTATCTCCAACTCATTTACACTAAATTTTACACCAAAAAGAATATTCCTTTTATTATTCTTATCTTTTAATATTTTTATCTATTTAAAATACTTAACAAATTATATAATTATGAAATTTTAAGTGTAAGTTTTTCTTATTTTTTTCATTTGGTTCTAGTATTATAAAATTTTAAGTGTTTGGATTAAATTATCTATTTTTCCTTTTTGAATTTTATTTTAATAATTATTTTATACTAAAATTTCATTATAATAGTTAATATAAAATAATATATATTATTAATATAAATATAAAAAACAAAAGCAAAAAAAACAAAATAGAATAAAATGGGAAATATGATGGATAAAATGGGGGTATGATTGGAATATTTGATTTGTTATAACAAACTTTAAGGGTAAATTTGGGGGGAAGAAACTTCATATCTACAGTGTTGCGCAATTCCTGACGCAACATTGTAGCAGCGCTTTAAAATAACGCTAACTTTGCTGCTCGGTTGGAGGAAATTTTGACGAAAGATTTGCGTCAATTTGGGTTTTTGGCGTTGGGTTGGTGATGCTCTAAGCCAAAGCTGTACATTGACTATCCGTGCAAGTCTTAAGAGTCTCTAAGTTAGCATGAGTCACTTATTGTGAAAATTCAATATTTTAATTCATCGGAAAAAAGAAAGAAAAAAAGACGATGATAAGATTATGAATCTTAAAAAAAATCTTTTCTTAATTATGAAAAAACATCCTATTGCCACTTAAGCATTCATCTAGGCGCACAACGCTTTCTTAGACATAAAAAAAATGATATATAAATCTCTAGTGTATTCCACTCTTCTCCATTTTTGACACTTTTCGTTGTTCCTTGCACGTAAACATATGTAGAACAATTGATCTGTAAACCACTCGAGTAGTGAGGTTAATTTATCTCACTTCATCAATTTAGCCCAAAGCTAGTCCTCTGCCGTCTAGATGAATCCATACCCATATTATATTTATCTCGGGTCGGGTCCATTCTTGACCTATCCGACCCAAGTTGCGATCTCCAGCGGCTACAAACACCGAACCCGTGGCAATGACGTGGGCCCAATAACCCGAAAGCAGATTATTATCAATAGGAAAGATACAAAAACACATCGTAGGATCGTCTCACATCAATCTAGCATTATCAAATTCATCGAAAGTACTAGTACTAGTTTATTTGCACACACATTTTCAATCGCACCCATAATTTCACCTTCTACAAATATTTGGGCCCCTCGTGGTTCTCTATGTTGGTGCAGTTAAATCAAGCTGTAGATACTTTTTAAGAGACGTCGTTATTACGCATCTTGAATTGATTTGCAATATCCATAGATGGGAAGGGTGGATCTAAAATTAAAAAAGAGACCTATGTGGGGTCACATTTTACATTCATGTACTTTTTCCTTTTTCTTTTCCAACAAATTTCCTTGATCTATTTAAGTCACCGAGAGGAGCTCCTCTTTGATTCATCGATCTCGATCGCTTGCTATTTTTCTAACAAGAAAAGGTAAAATCTTTGATTTTTCCTTTTAAACGAATTATGTTTACTTACTCTCTGAGCTTTCAGTGGTTTGCTACATTTTGTCTCTTATGAAATATTTTTTGATAATCCTGAAATTTTCTCGTCCATGATCTGGATTATCCAAAAACCCTTATAAAGTTCGGACCTTTGGTGCCTTTTGGGATTCTGGTCTCTTCGATCCTTGCTTGATTTTGTGGCTTCTGTGTGTTTTTCGATTTCGATCCAATTTTTGGAGTATTTTTGGGGAAAATCTGATATCTTTTCAGGATTAGGGTTTCGGTGCTCGAATGGCCCGTTTGATAGTTCCCAGCAAAGGTTCGAGTTTGGCGAAGAAGGGGTTTTTGGGATTGTTCTCATCCTTTCATGTGATTTTCTCAGACCCAAGTCTTTGTTTGATGTGCCATTAAGCTTTCTCACTGGACCCCTTTGTTTTTGGTTGCTTTTGTGAAATTACTTGAAATAGTGATGTTTTTGATTGTTTGTTTGCTGGGTTTTCGAGTATTCTACATGAATTCCAACCTTTTAATTGTAGATAGTATATAAGAGTATCGCAGTAAGTTTAGTTAGTGATAAAAATTTACTTCCAAGTGTAGAAAGAAGAGTAACATAATCACTTTTACAGACTTTTTAAGTTCAAAATATTTATGGAAGGTGGCTAATGCTAATTCTATTTGGTGATAGCATGGAAATTGGTGAAACCTTTATTCTAATTCTAAAGCCACTATCATGACCTGATGTATTTTTGAGGAGCTATGTTTGTCTTTCGTTCACTGCTCTACTAAACAGTACAGTTTTATCCCGGGGTCTGACTTGTTTTAAATTATTGGTTGTAATCGAAATTCTGGTTGGTTGTAATTGAAATTCTGGATTCTGCTCTCGAATTTGTGGAATAGTAATCTTGTAGTTGCAAATCTAATTAACAGTTTAAACACTTGTAATCACGATGCTCAACTCCACCGGATCCTTTCTTGTTTTCAGTACGATGTATTTTGAATTTTCTTGCTACTTAAGTCATGGATTTGAAGTCACATAGGATTTTCCAATTTATAGAAAAAGATTCTGTTGCAAGTGAAATTGGAATTGAGAAGCTGATGTAGCAAACTAAATGATATTATTTCTCTCTAATAGTATAGTGGAAATCTTACAGCTAACCAAATAAGTCATAGACTTAGATTTCAGCTGGACGATGTTTATTAATATCTGTACTTTTGTGAGTCCAGTTTTCTTCCATGTTCCTTTACATGTCACTTTGATTTGAGTCATTCTTTAAGTTTGACATCTTCCTTAGTATGTTATGAAAATTAAATACTATGCTGAATGTTAAGCATGTTCACAACCCATATGACTTGCTATTGTCAAGAAACATCTGTTCCTTTTCATCTTTTTTTATCCCTTTGTGCTTTTGCAACATGTTGTTTACTAAATAGTTCCTTCAGGGTTTTTTTATCCCTTTGTGCTTTTGCAACATGTTGTTTACTAAATAGTTCCTTCAGGGAACTGCTTTACTGAGAATTCTCATTGCTTTTGCAACATGTTGTTTACTAAATAGTTCCTTCAGGGAACTGCTTTACTGAGAATTCTCATTTTTTCCTGCATTTTCAGAATACACACCAACACTGTTCTCTACATTATCCAGCTAAACGTTATTGCAATTATAGTTCTACTATCTCTGAGGAGGTTAGTATCTTTAGTTTGTTTTAACATCCTTTACGTTTTTTTACTTTATTATGCTTTCAGCTTTGGATCTCATGGAGGTGAACAAGCATTTTTGTTCATTTCAGATGTTTTCTTATTTGATAGTGCTTCTTTACATCGTTTTCTTCAAATGTTGAATTTAATATTCAGGTTTCTTATCTCAATTTTGTGCCATAGGTTATATATAGAAGGAGCAATCCGTTTTCCCTATTTTTGTCTGTAAGTTATTACAAACTTTCCAGATACTGTTTACCCTTTTTTCTTGGGCAATATAAAATCTTTGAGAGGTAGTAGACTTCTTAACATTTCCCATGATTGCATGGTTTTCCTTAACTTTGTAACTAGACAGACAGTTGTTACATGGAAAGCTTAAAAGATTTACATGTCCATTCTCGAGATTTTCTAAGTCGAAGCTTTTCTCCTGGAAACTTTTAGTTTTAGGTCAAATGTAATATTCTGGGATACATCAAAATGAAATTTTGCTTATTATTCTGTTAGCATTGTTATGTGATTCAGGGCATCGTTTTAATTCTATTGTAATGTTTACTTCCGTTTATTTTTATACCATAATATCATAATTTCTGTGTTTAATAATCATAACATTTTGACAAGATAATTATGGCAGAAAGAGTAAACTTTCCTTATCTGGTCCCTTGGATGTTTTACCTAACTTAACATTGTAACTGATATGAGCTGTATATGTCTATATGTACGAAGGGACTTACATGTGAATAAGGAATCTACAGCATTGAAGTGTGTCATATCAGGGCATGATGATTGGCTATAAATTACAATATTTTTTTATTAGTGCTTTTACATGATGGAACTTATGTATCTAGTCTTTCATAATACAGCCCTGACAATATATCAGGGCATGAGGAAACTCTTCTTTTCCTATCTATATCTATATCTATACTACTATACTACTATAAAAAGAGGATTGGGGTGTTAAAATTTTTAATTTCCTTTTTTGCCCTCTCAATTTTTGATAAATTCTAAATATGCCATTATCTCTAATTAATCTTTCATAAAATAAATATAACCTCTTATTAATTATGCACCTTTTCACCTTCCTAAATAATTGTAATTATCAATAATATTATAACTATTAATTGTCCAAAAATAATAAAAGAACAATAATTTATAAAATAAGTATACACAATTATTAGTAGTAACCAATTAAATTATTATAACAACTATTTATGAATTATAATAAAATAATTAAAATAATACTATAAATAGAGTAATATATTACTAAATACTCTTAAGAATTATACTATAATCCAATGAGCAACAAAATAAATAGAATAAATTTTGAATCGCATAAATAGTGTAATTAGTTTATTAATATCACATAAATTATTAATTACACTATTTATTTAGAATTATATTCAACAAATAATTTAAATAAATAATTTAAAATTATTTTGAGAGAATTTTCTCAAAGATTATTACATGATACTGAATAATATGATACTTAATAATCTATACTTGGTAATGATTGAAAACTAACCTTTTTACAAAAAATATTTAATATTAATAATAATACTATTAATTGTTAATGATAGTATAATATATATTTATAAAATATTTATAGTACTAAATTATTTAAGAGGATAAATAAAAAAATAAATTAGATAAATAGTTTATACTATATAGACAATATAATTATTTTAGTAGTATTACTTAAACTAAGAATTATAATACTACATAAGGTAAATTACAGTAAACCCCTATGAACTTTTATTATTCTATACTAAATAGACCTTATGAAATTTCGGAATCACACCAAACCCCTAATAATTTTTGTAAAAAGCCCCCAATATCTTTTAGATAAATTACAACAAACCCCCAATAACTTTCAAAATGCCTTTTTATGTCATTTTCTTGTTCAAATTTATAGGAATTATCTGCAAAATTCATAAAGTTATTGGGCAGGGGGTCTTCTTTGAAACAGAAGAGTCATTAGGGAATTACGGATTTAGTGTAATTTTGAAAGTTCATATGGCCTGAAAGTTTACAAGGGTTTAGCGTAATTTACACTATTAAATAATTATAATGAGAAGTAACTATTGCAATATATTGCATGTATTAAGTATAACTATCTAGGGAACATCAGGAAAAAGTTAGCAAGATTAATGTAGCTTAGTTAATTCAGAGTTAAGTTAACAAATTTCAAGTTGGAGGGATATATTTAAGGGAATTTATAGAATTGACAGTTTTATTTAAGAATACTTTTAGTTTTGCGGGCTTATTTAAAAAATGTTAATATTGGGCGATCATTATAAGAAAAGCATTCGATCATAATAATTGCACAATAATTAATCCATACATTTCTTTTTAAGCAATCTTATTATACAATTTTATTTATTAACACATAGTTTTACTATTCAATAAAAAAATTCAATACTTAAAACATGTACATTCACATGCAAAGCACGTGCATTATACTAGTTCATAACAAAATGGGAATAATCTAAAAAGATAACTGCTCTTGTTCTTTTAGTAATGCAGTCAACCAGCTAGTAAAGGGTTTTTTTTGGGGGGTAAAGAATGAATTTGAGCGACATTCTACTAAGGGGGAAAAATCTATTGACAATTTTCTTCACTTTAAGGAATTAAAGGGGAATTAAAGGGGCACGATTATTGCTACACACATGGTTTACATTCCTGTTACTTCATGGACGTTTGAGTTAAAAACGGTGACAACCTGCACCCTGGAATTCATAGTTTCATCTGTCCTTATATTTTCTCCAAATTATGGAGTTGGGATATAACTGGAGAATAATGGTCTTCTATATCAGACGATGCCACAACTGAAGACCTTTTGTATCTGCTTGTTATTCCATTAATATTGAGTATTAAATACTTGGTTTTCCTTTTTACCTTTTTGTTTGGTTGTTTTCACCATGTCAGATTCCATTTTCCTTTTTGTTCTTTAAACCTTTTATATGTCATCCCAGATAGATGTCAATGTTTTGTTGAGCTGTAGTGGAGAACCTATAATTGTAGTTATGTGTAACCTCTGGTTTTCTGTTTATAAATATCTGTTAGTAAACCTCCGGCCTTTAAAATTGTTCGTTATTGCATTTTACACAGTTCTGTGTAATTTTTGGTTCTCTGTTTATGATTATCTGTCAATGTCAAATTTGTGTTCTTGTATTGTTTGTGCATGTGGACGGTTATGTATTGCTGATTGTTTTATCTACAACAAACTTTTCAATCAAGAATAATGGGAGTCTCTAATCCACAACTATTCGCTGCGGCAACAAAAAAATAAATAAATAAAAATAGTGCATTCATGGTGATCTGTAATTGTCAATCATAAATTAGCTTGCTAAATAGATATGTGTTTGATATATGCTTTGCTCTATTTTCTTCTGTGGTACCTTGGTTTGTCTGATTCTCGTTCCCCCACTCCATTAAGTAGTTCGCGTGCTAATGTTATTCTCTTTTTTTGTTGTTGTTTTTTCTAGATTCTGATCACATCATATACACATTCTCGTGCATTAGTCAACGTTCTTTTTGCATTAACATTCTTGATACATTAGTCAAGAAAAGACTTTCTATTGATTATTAAGTATTTGATGGATGTTATGATATCATTTCAGAAAAGTAAGGCATCCAGCAAACGGTCAATTTGTTCAGTTGCCACACAGCCTGTGCCATCCCAGACTGAAGAGTCAAAGATGGATTCTCCTAAAGAGATCTTTCTGAAGGACTACAAGATGCCTGATTACTACTTTGATACGGTAAGCACAATTCATAGCCATTGTTATTTGTTAACATAAACCTTTATTTGTTGCTGTTATTTGCGGCAGAAGATCTGTTGTTATGTCTTTATTAAGAATGCCTTGCGTTAATTAATTTTACCAAAAATAATCAGCTGACCAGCCAATGAATAACAGTTTACTGGGAAGTAAGCCCTTTTATTTTGGACTTTCTCTCATTTCGCATATTGATTAGTTACGTCTGTTAGTAAGTTGTTTATACTGATCTCGTCTTTTCTGGATGAAGGGTACACTCCATATCTTATGTTTAATTAATACTTGTTACAATTTAATTGGATTTCCTTTGTATTCAGCGAAAGAATAAAGTATGTTCCATTTGATCATATGATTATCATAAGAAATACCAAAATTTGAATCTGTATAAATGAGTCTATTTTCAGTTAATAGATACGTAACTGGTACACTGATCAATAGATATCTGTGCTATTTCATCTTATTTATTTATTATCCATTTCATTACTGTAGCTACTTGTGACTAGATAATGATAAATATATTTTAGTTGCATCACACAAGGAATCTCAGGGTTCACACGCATTATATGCTTCCTGCAATTTGTGCTGGTAGTAATCTTGCAAGCAGTTGTGAGGTTTGATACCCACTATAGATTTTTATAGGTTTCATATTAGTAAAGACAACACAGGTTTCATATTCGTAAATAGCATCTTCAAGTAGTTCATTTTCGACTAAGAAGATTAGATCCGTTATCTGTAATGCACTTTGCTGATTTTTTTAAACTCCCGTTAATAGTAGCAGTGACATGATTTTCTTGTTCCTCTGTGATAATGCGCCCTTTTACCTTGCGCTTTTAAACACCGCTTTCCACATTATGCCGTGAAATTATGGATTTGTCTTGAATTGTTCCAGGTTGATTTGAAATTTACACTCGGTGAGGACAAGACCATAGTCTCATCAACAATTACCGTTTTCCCCAGAGTAGAAGGTGAACATTTACTAATTTTATAATTTATTATCGATTCACTAAATATGAGTTTGAGTTTTCTTCATTGCATCTTAGCATTTAACAACATAGTCTGAGCTGTCGAGGCTTTATATCTAGCACAGAGGCTTTGTATCTAATAGTAGACTTTAAATTTTTTTTAAACTTATCTATAAGTACTTGAGACCATTGAAATATTGAACTATCACTTCTTACACTAAAAAAAATATTTCTGGATGTTTACCTGGTGCATGCAGGTGTTTCTTGTCCTCTGGTTCTCAATGGTCATGATCTTAAACTATTATCAGTGAAAGTTGATGGCAAAGAACTTAAGGTAGCTATCTCTGTTACCAGTTTACTTCCCAATTTATACATATTGTTTTTCTTACTGCAATAGACTATTTCACTTCATGTGATTTTGGACTGTTAAGTCTACAAAAGTCTCATGCTTTGCTAGTTTTTAACTTTAAACTAAGGTCGATAATATAGCTTGTTAGTTGTTACAGTTATAATATGTTACGACAAGGGATAGGTGAAAGGGAATCTCTATATACTTGTCTTTGGAATTTTATGTACTAACATGCCTGTCAGCTTAATCATTATTCTGTTTTGCCTGGTAGCCAGGTGGGTGCATGCTTGTTTGTGCACCATGAAATGTATCACTGTAACACTCAACATTTTGAAGTTGCGTTGCAATTACAGGAAGAAGATTATCAGTTGAGTTTGCGCCACTTGACACTCTCGTCACCACCCACCAGTAAATTTACCCTGGAAATTGGTACTGAGATATATCCTCAAAGCAATACGTCTCTGGAGGTATAGTTACTGAATATTGTTGATTTTTATATACTGTGAATGCATTATTTTAATCATGATTTTTTTCTATTTTCTGTTTTCTGTTTCAAGGGACTGTACAAATCTAGTGGAAATTTCTGTACACAGTGTGAAGCGGAAGGTTTTCGGAAAATTACCTTTTATCAGGTTATTTTGTAACCAATGTTTACCTGATTATTGTTTAGTTAAATCAAGTTGGAATCTGTTCGTGTATATATTTGATTGTATACCAAAAGGTCCACATTAAACTGTTCAAGCAAATGCTATTACCAATAAAGGCACGATCCTGTGGTCGTCTATGTTTACAACTTGAAAATCTCTTATTCAGATGTAGTTTCCTAGTGCCTGCTTGGGTATTGCTAAAGCGGCATTTAGGTTGCCATTACTAAATTAAGCTTGTGCCTCTTGCATGATGCTCCTTAACTTAGATTATTGATCATAAATTAAACGGATTTCTATTTCTATGATTTTGTACATATTGCATGAAGCAAACAACTTCTTGATTCAGCATTGTGTTTACAGGATCGCCCTGACATAATGGCAAGATATACTTGCCGAATTGAAGCAGATAAAACTCTCTATCCTGTATTGCTGTCTAATGGTAATCTCATCGAGCAAGGTGACCTTGAGGTACAACCATTTTACTACTGAAAGCCTGCTTTGCTATAGCTTTTATGTTTCTTATCTTGCTGTTCTGTTTTCAGTGGACCTATGTGCATCTTAACAAACATTATTTTTCTCCAACATTGTATGCAGGGTGGAAGGCACTATGCTCTCTGGGAGGATCCATTTAAAAAGCCCAGCTATTTGTTCGCATTAGTTGCAGGGCAATTGGAAAGTAGAGATGACACATTTGTCACTTGTTCTGGTCGGAAAGTTGCCTTAAGGATATGGACCCCATCCCAAGATGTACCGAAGACAGCCCATGCAATGTATTCTCTCAAGGCAGCAATGAAGTGGGATGAAGAGGTTAGTAATTTTAGTTTGCACTATGCATTTAGATTACTGAACTCGACTGATCAAATTCTGAAGCATTTATCGACACTTCCTGTTGGAGCAGGTTTTTGGTCTTGAATATGATCTTGATCTGTTCAACATTGTGGCAGTTCCCGACTTTAATATGTAAGTTGATTTATGTCTATTTGAGTATTTCATCTTTCAGAATTCGATTTTACCATTGCTATGCAATTAGAACTGTGACTCCTGAACTGCTTTTAGCTGAAGATGAGATTATGTGCAAGAACATGTTATTTTTTCTGCAGAATCAATGGAATTATGCATAACATACAATTCTGTTAATAACAATATTATATGTTCATACCTGCTGAATTTACATTCAGTACATACAGTGCATAAGCATGTCTCAATCTGGCAGTAATTAAATCTGATTCTATTAGTATCTAAAAATGTTAAAAGATTGTAAAAGATGTAATATTTGTTGGAGTGGTAATGAGTATCGGCTGTCACATGAGGACAATTCTTCCTATTATATTAAAAGTCAACCCTCTCTATTTGAGTACATGATAGATGCTATTCATGTTGTTCTCCACTTGTAACTTCCAGTAGCAAATCAGGACAAAGATGTCTAAAATATGTAGATGAAATACATGATCATATACTATTATTTTTATCCATAGTACCCTAAGAAAGAACTCTGGTAGAGAAGGAAAAAAGCTGTCCATTGTGATGAGAGGCTTTTAACAGTAGAAATGAATTATACTACAAAAATACTATTATGTGATTAGCTATAGAACGCTACCATCTTAAATGGCTTTTGCTCTTCAATAATGAAATTCTTTAATTCATTTTCATTTGGCAACTAAATTTCTTGTGTATATTACAGGGGAGCCATGGAAAACAAAAGCTTGAATGTATGTTTTTATGTTCTCACTTCTCACATTTTTGAAGCTAGTCTAATTTTCTTACTAGTTAGAGAGAAGTTTCTGAACCAATCATATCCTTGTAGATATTCAACTCTAAACTTGTCTTGGCCTCTCCGGAAACTGCTTCAGATATGGACTATGCTGCAATTTTGGGCGTGATTGGTCATGAGGTTTGGCTATATTTCAAAACCATTTATTGTTATGTTGTTCAAATCTTCCCCTATAATGGTGAATAGAATCTGATACACTTTATCTGATTTGTTTTCTCAATCAACGTTTTTGTGCAGTATTTTCACAACTGGACTGGCAACAGGTTTGAGCTGTTTCTTTGTTTTCATGTGTATTTTGAGTTTTTCAAGACAAGGAAGTTGAAAGTGTCTGTTCTGTTCATTCATGATCAGATTAAATGCAAAGAGAAGAAAAGTAAAAAAAAGCAGTGTGTTCAGACAATATCCATGTAGTTATAAATAAATAAGCTACAAGTTGAGACAATAATCATACTCGAAATTCCAAAGCTCTTACATCCTTCTTTGGGAACTAATAGTTTCTTTACCATCTGAATCCTCTTCCTTGATGATTTTGGAAGAGGTGAATCAGCATCTAGCACATGAAACCCCCCTTTCCAGTGTTTGCCATCCCTTTTTCCCTTGTTTTGTGTTTCCAGAAGAGAAATCATATCCATAATGTCAGGTCAATTTTTATTCAACATATTAAAGATAGATTTTTAAGAATTTTAGATCTCATCATTTTTGTTCTCCATTTAACTAAAATGACTATGAAGTATGAGCGTAAGTTTATCTAAGTACCTTTATGATAATTCTTTTGAATTTCTTCCTTTCTTCTTTTATTTCTTTTCATTTAAAAAATACCAAGTTGTCTAATTTTTTTAATTAATAGAGAATACATTTAGGTCAAGAACATAATGCTGATAAGAGAAAAAATGACAGTGGAGACTAGCCAGTCACATCAATCTCCTTAATAGTGAGTGAGAAGTCAGAGCAATCCAGTTCAGTTTCTGTGGACCTTGCTCCCAACCATCATTATAAAAGATTTCTAGTCAATATGATGGAAGCATCAGGATTGCAATTCCCAAGTGTCAATTACCAGGAAGCAGATGAAATCATTTGTATTCCTTCCCTTTCTTTCGTTTTAATTACTGGTGGAGTGACTGAGCTCTTGAAAAAGTTAAAATTGCAAATTGTTGGTGTCTGCATTGCTTTCCCAACTATACATAATTTTCTCCTCTTTGCCGTTACAAGCAATAAAAAACAATGATTTTCAAATGCCCTTTGCAGAAGTTGATATCTGTTCAAATATTGCAGAGTAACATGCCGGGATTGGTTTCAGCTCAGTCTAAAAGAAGGTCTCACTGTCTTCAGGGATCAGGTGAAATCGGGATATCATAAAGTTTTCTGTTTTTTGGTCTTTATTTATAGAAAACTCAATGTTCTATCAGTATTTTGAATCATGATCTTTTTTTGGGTGTTGCAGGAGTTCTCATCTGACATGGGTAGTCGCACAGTTAAGCGGATAGCTGATGTTGCAAAACTTAGAAATTACCAATTCCCTCAGGTCAATTTTATTTCTAAATCAAGTACTTTCTCTTTGGATTTGTTATCTATCTGTATGATTTTTAGTCACTATACATAAAGTACATCTTGCTGGAAGAGTTTCTGCAGCAATAAATGATAGCCATATGCCAGAATGTTCAACCACAACCTTTTTCTCATATGTGATGTTATTCTTGTTATGATGTTGGTAGGTTAGTATGAATTGCTTCTCTATTAGAGTATTACATCTGAGATAAGCGGTTTTCGTATTAAAATGAGGATTGTTTGTGGAAACTTTTATTAACTAATTCCTGATGCTAAAAGTATGAGTATGAACGACATTATTGGCTCACCATATCTAAGAATGAAATTTGATTCAATTTAAAAAGAGTAAATTTTCTATTCTGTTGTGTCTGAGTGCATTCTATAGTTGCGTACCAAAGCATGTGTGAGTTCATGCTTTCTCTTTCTCAATGTCGAGATATGTTACTATTATAGTTTGTCATTTAGACCTTTTTCCTCCAAATATATATTTAGTTCTGTGTTGTAGGAAATGTACAACCTTGATCATCACCCCCTCTCCCCTGGGCGGGCCCCGGGGGGGGGGGCGCTTTCTCATGGGAAAACATCTTCCTAGATTTTAGCCTATCAGAAATTAAGTCATTAGCAGAAAGAATAAAATATGCATTATGAGCTTTCCACATCATCATTTGTATTGAACATCTTGCCATTCTTTATATTTGGAGTGCCTAATCTTCCGTTTTTCCTGGCAATATTTAGGATGCTGGACCTATGGCTCACCCAGTTCGTCCTCATTCATATATTAAGGTATTTTATCATCTGAGAGGTTCTATTTGGAGTAAACTCTTTATTTCAGTTGTAAGATCTAGGTCGAGAAATTCTGGGCTGATGATCTTCTTCTTCTTTTGTTTTCTTGACAGATGGACAACTTCTATACTGGTGAGCTTTAAACTTTCCATTGTTTACTTTGTTATAGACAGATTATTAGTTTCTTTGATGCATATATCTTCATCTAATCTCGGTGTTTAACTTCTGCTCATGTTTGTCATCTCACCTGGCTTGTTTTCACATGGACATTTCAGTAACGGTAATTTTTAATTCAGCCTTTCTTTTACTCTCCTTGACTTCTTTTGCACACAAACCTCTATAGTAAATATTATATCCTGTCTAACCATGTCCTCATTGGCATATGTATATATTGCTTCATTACCATGGCTGCTGTTGTTCAATAACAGGTGTATGAGAAGGTAAGTATCCAATAATAACCTTTCTCCTCCAATTTTTTTTCTTTTAATTGAATGGAATAAATAAAAATTATGATATATCTGGCTATACATCTTTTATATTTTAGGGAGCTGAAGTTGTGAGAATGTACAAGACACTGCTTGGAAGTTCTGGGTTCAGAAAAGTAAGTGAGATGCTTTCTTGACATTTGTTATACCTTTGTTACTAAAAATTCTAAGGACATTCTTTCAGGAATAGTTGCATGCTCTCTACTTGTTGATTTCAATAGAGTACAGTAACAACAGCTCCAACATAGCCTTGATCTCAAAAGTTCAGGGTTGGCTGCATGTTTTATTTTTTCTTTTCTTTGTCAAGAGTAATCCTAAACCTTTGGAGCTGGCTACACAAATCTTTTTTCTCCAGGTCAACTCTATTAAGAGCCATCTCCTCTATCAAGTTAATAATTATCATATCCCTTGTCACACATGTTTTTTCTGATCTATCGCTATTATTGCTTCATGAAAATATGATCTTTTTTTCCTAAGTAGTGCAAACTTTAGCCTGAATTTCAGATTTCCAAACCATTTCAACAGGTTATGTCTGTTCACAAATTGAAACAACCTCATGTTAGCTTGGATTTCAGATTTCCAAACCATTTAGTATGATATCGCACATCCATCTCAGTTTTTCTCGTTATAGCTACTCATTTTCTAGACATGGTTCCTTAAGTTGGCAGCCTGCTTCAACGTCACACATCTATATCAGCAGAGGAGATAATTATGTTTGTAGACTAAAGACAAATACTAATACCCCTAACTTACTTTTCCACCATTTTTTTTATTAACTTTTAAATTTTATGCTCAACTGTTGCTATCTTCTCTTTTCTTTTTGAACTTACATGACATTCTTGGAATTCTTTTTTTCTTTTTTAAGTAAAAAGTAAACGTAAACATTACGTGCTTCCCTCTTCAGTATTTTGGATTGATAGGTCATAGGCTATCATTCATCTGAAATGTTAGAACTGCTATGATTGTAACCTGTTATTCTCTCGAGCATTTACATTCTCTTAAAAATAAGCTGTGAAAACCATTATTTTTTGTGTCGGTATTTTAGGTGACTATCATTGGGATTTTTATCCCTGCAGATGGAGAACTTTTCCCCCTTTTTACATGCAAATAAAATTGTTTCTTTCGTCAGATGTTTTTTTTTCTGTAATCATCAGGGCATGGATCTGTACTTCAAAAGACATGATGGACAAGCAGTAACTTGTGAAGATTTCTTTGCTGCTATGAGAGATGCAAATGGTGCAGATTTCTCTAATTTCCTCTTATGGTATACAACTTTCCTAACCTGATGTCTTTATTCATTTTTAAATATTTTCTTACAATGTTTTGTTTGCTTGTGCACCTACAGGTACTCTCAGGCAGGGACTCCTCGTGTTAAAGTTACATCATCCTACAATGCTGATGCCCGGACATATTCTTTGAAATTCAGGTAAAACGCAGACCTACACTTGTGATTTCATTTCGATGTGTGTATGTGTGTGTGTGTATAATTTGCTGGACTTTGCATACCAATTTCTATGGAGATAAATTTTACATTTGACATACTAACCACAGGTCTACAACATTTACATGGTTTAGAAAATGATTTAGGTGCTTTTGTTCTCCTTTTCAATGCTTTATTATTGGAAAAAAGTAATAATCAGTGTCCTGGTGACTCGAAAGTTATCTTATTAGGGCTTCCACTGTTGTATTTGGAGATTCTAATGATTTTGTTTGGTGTTCTAGTCAAGAAATACCTCCAACGCCTGGTCAGCCTGTGAAGGAACCAATGTTTATACCTGTTGCAGTTGGACTTCTTGATTCAAGTGGAAAGGACATACCTCTCACGTCCATTTATCATGATGGACTTCTTCAGCCAGTTGCAACCAATGGTCAACAAGTTAATACAACAGTTCTCAGAGTCACAAAGGTAGGGAAGATTTTTCTTGATCTAATGTTGAAAGTGGAATGTAGATGGCCAAAGTTTGTGCATAAACATGGCAGGTGTCAGAAGATTTGTAGCTAAGATTACCTCACCAAATCACAAGGTTCATGATATTTATAAACCTTTTAAACATATCAGATAATACTATAATTAATGTTATATGTATTTTCTTCTTTGGAGGCAGGAGTTTAGCCCATTCATTTTCCAGTGGATATTCATTTATGTTGATGGCCAAAGTTTGTGGATAACCATGTCAGATGTCAGAATATTATTTTAGCTAATATTAACTCACCAAATCAGAGGGTTCATGATGATTATAAAACATTTTAAACATATCAGATAATACTGTGATCCTTGCACTTAAAGGTTGGATTTTATATATCTTTTTTTTTTTGGTGGCAAGAGATCAGCCCATTAATTTTCCGGTGGAAGTTCATATGCGAAAATCGGTAGCGTGACTTATGAGGGAGACAAATTTTCTTTAAGATCATAGTGGCAATCGTAGTTATCCTGGCTGAACTATTATTTAATGATTATATTTCATTGGCCAAACTTTGTTCATCTTCAGTCATTTCTTACCGTCCTAAAGCTACTCGGAATATGCTTAATGTTTTGCAGAAGGAAGAAGAATTTGTGTTTTCTGATATAGCTGAACAACCAGTCCCTTCCCTACTGCGTGGTTATAGTTCTCCTGTTCGTCTTGACTCTGATCTTACAGACAGTGACCTGTTTTTCTTACTTGCACATGATTCTGACGAGTTCAACCGGTATGTTATTAATGATGAGAACACCTGCTATAACCTTAGTTCTCAAGTTAGATAGTGCTCATATCTTCTGTTTCAGCTGGGAGGCAGGCCAAATTTTGGCAAGGAAATTGATGCTGAATCTTGTAGCTGATTTCCAGCAGAACAAATCACTGGTTTTAAATCTTAAGTTTGTTGATGGAATGAGGAGCATACTGAATGCTACAAACTTAGATAAAGTATGCACAATCTTGATATCAGTTTTCCTTTTTTCTTTTGAAAAAAGCTCTCTCTCTCTCTCTACTCACAGTGTAATTGCTTTCATATTTCAGGAATTTATTTCAAAGGCAATTACGTTGCCTGGTGAGGGGGAGATCATGGACATGATGGAAGTTGCAGACCCTGACGCTGTTCATACTGTCCGTTGCTTCATCAGAAAGGAGCTTGCTCTTCATCTAAAAGAGGAGTTCCTTTCTACTGTAAGTTCTGCTTCTATCTGTTGTTTCTGTGTTGACCTTGAGAATAACTATCTTAAGCTGCGAATATATACTTTGGGCTCTAGTGCTTTTGATTCTATTGAAATCCACTATATCTTAAGTGCTATTATACAGTCCAGACTGTTGTAATTTAATATATTCACAGTGAGGTTGTATTATCTCTGTCTAAATACTACTAAATGGTAAAGTAAATGAACCTCTACTCTTTGTAATATTTGTATCTGTTATAATGGAGATTCTAAAACAAAACTTTACCATCGACAATTGCTCATTCTCTCGTCTTTGTCATGGTTTTTTAGCTATCATAATTGGAGATTTTTCTTAATGCCTGTGTTATTATTATTTGAAACATTTCACATCTGGACCTCATAAACTTCAGGCTTTCAACCAATAATCAATTACTTTTTAAGAGTACAGGTTAATGTTTTTATTTTATTTTCTGCCTCTCACAAGTCTTTCTAAATTTAATTTTTGTGTACCAGTCTGGTGTCAGTGACAAATCTCCAATTCCTTGATATGAATCCTTCATAATCACACGAATAATGTAACCCATAACTGATTGGTTTAATGGCTCTGCAATCTGTTAGCGGACACATTTTCCTTACTTTTGCTTTTGATTACCTATGATATCGTTCATTCATTTTACAAGCTTATTCTCGATCTAAACATGCTTTGGCTTCTTTTTTTTCAGCTGAAAAACAATAGAAGTTCAGAGACTTATGTTTTCGATCATCAAAATATGTCTAGGCGTGCTTTGAAAAACACAGCTCTTGGTAATATTCACCAGCCGACAGAATAATATCTTTTGAATAATTGTTTGAGCTCTAATGTCTGATTTTAATGTTTCATGTCTACAGTCTACCTTGCAACATTGGACGATCCAGAGATGACAAGTCTTGCATTGCATGAGTACAATGCAGCCACAAACATGACAGAGCAATTTGCAGCTCTAACAGCGATTGCCCAAAATCCTGGTCAAGCCCGTGATGATGTTCTTGCGGATTTCTATAACAAGTGGTCTCATGATTTCTTGGTAGAATCCCATGCTCCATATCCAAGTGCTGCAGATTTTATTTATTACTGTCAATACCTTATTAATTCTTTTACCAGAGATACGGAGATTTGATATGGAGATTGTAATATCTTTTTTTATCAGGTTGTGAATAAGTGGTTTGCTCTTCAAGCGATGTCCGATATTCCTGGAAATGTTGTTAATGTCCAGAAATTGTTGAACCATCCTGCCTTTGACTTCCGCAACCCAAATAAGGTCAGTTACATGTGCTCTGATGACAGTGAGGAAAAGTAATATTGACTTGATCACATAAATTCTCTATTTGTTTACCTCGTCCGTCATTAAAGCTCTCTTTGTTGTGCACCAGGTTTACTCCCTAATTGGAGGTTTTTGTGGATCCCCTGTGAATTTCCATGCCAAGGATGGGTCAGGCTACAAATTTTTGGGAGAAGTCGTTTTGCAATTGGATAAAATAAACCCTCAGGTGCATTTCGATTTTCTGAAATTGACATCTCTCTACTATTTTTGTTCAAGATATATGAATGAATTTTCACCTTTTGTATGTTAAATTGATTTCAGGTGGCGTCTCGCATGGTGTCAGCTTTTTCAAGGTGGAGGCGTTATGACGAGGGAAGACAAGCTCTTGCCAAGGTAATCCAAGCCTCTCTTTTCTCATTTCGGTTACTAAACTTAGATATATGTTTTTGGGGCCAAAAACAGGGCATAAAATTGTAACGAAATCCCAGTAAAGATGCATCTTCTATAACATAACCTGTAAAACCTTTTTACCATCTTAACATTGGGGCTGTTTGGCTGGTTTATCAAGAAAACATGAAACCTATTTCATGACTTGGAAACCCATTTCGGAGGTTTTGGAGGTGAAATGGGCTTCATGAAGAAACTGACGTGGTGGAGCTTTAAGGCCTTTTTTACATAAATTATCAAACCAAACAAACATAGGATATGTAAACCTTTTTTTGGCTTGAGATTTTCAAAGCTGACGCGGCAAGCATGGAATCCAAAATCATCCTTTTACACTGCAAACCAAATAGCCCCTAAGCTGCATCTCACGGGATTCTTCTTATAAAAGAAGGATGGTTTGGTTGATGCCAAGATGCACAAGTGAATTGCACATCTTATCTGAAAGTTAATGTATCCTTCAACCATAAGTTTTATACCATATGATTACCTTCCAAAATCTGGTCTTTTGGCATGCCCGTTTTTTCATGTTTCTGAGTGTTTAACATGTTTGCTTTAAACTGTGTACATAATCTGAAACCATATAAAAAGATAGTAATGTTCGATGAGCCACTTTGAACTAAATCATGTTATGGGCACAGAGTGGAAGCTCTATTTGTAATGATGTAGCAACTGGAGTGAGATTGTTACTAATGCATAACGATGCTCATAAAGCAGTAGAATTTTGAATAAGCAATCGGTTTGAACATTTTCTTGCATAGTGTTAAATCCATGTAGATCAAATTTGTAAGCCTCTTCAAGAAATAAAACCACTTACTTGCATGATTAACAACAATTTTTTTTCCCGATCAGAATGTTGCTTGATCTGCAGAATTATACACGCGATTCTAATGTTTATCGTTCTTACAATGTCCACAGGCACAATTAGAGAGAATAATGTCAGCCAATGGATTGTCCGAGAATGTATATGAGATAGCATCGAAGAGCTTGGCTGCTTAAACTCCAATTTCACAATGAGACCCGTCCATGGGTCAACTCCGATAGCCAGCTTGGATCGGAAAGTGAATCTTTTCTTCATATATATGTACTGTAGTAGCATGCACGGACAGTTAAAACAATAAAACTGAGTTTTCAGACGAACCTTTTGTTATTCTTAGTTTCTTATATTGAAGGTATGGGTAACTTTTTGGGATATTCTGCTGTATGAACATTATTATTTTCACTCTTCGAATTTGACATTTGGGAATTTCTGCTTTGGTACGGATGTCGGGAATTCTACATCAGAGTTGTTTGGGGAGGGAAACTTCTTTTCCTCATCCTATCCCTTGTCGTTATACCTTAAAAAAAAAACCCCTTTATGAAATGAGCGGTCCATCTTGTTAATCATTTTTCTCCATGAACTGCTACTTCGCAAACGTCGTTTCCTAAATTTATTCATACATGGTATAAAAGGTTTGGCGATTTATACCAAATCTATATGGTAGTTCTTCTAACTACGCTGACGAAGAAGGAAAAAAAAACTGAACACTTTATAATTGGTTATAGAAAAATTCTCTAAGGATTCAAAATACAGGACTAACAGTAGAGACATGTGAGGTGTTCCTTATGTTAGATCTTATATTTTGGGTCCTTATAACAAAACTCTTGGTTATAATGTTTGTTCAATTTTCAAGGAACAAGAAATCTTCTCGGTTATTATAACTTAAACATAGTGATTCCAAGCAATAACAATACTTGAGCTGGTAGTTTATTACACAAGAATCACGTGGACAGGGGGGGGGGGGGGGGGGGGGGGCAAAAAAGCTTAAAAAATTTAGTTGCGCCATACCACGGCTGAAGCACCCACCGCGGGTTTGAGTAATCAGAGCAATGGCGTCAGTGGATATTAAACATCAAAGTACTTGAAATTTTTTTATTTTTATTTTTTATTCCGAGTGAGTGATGGCTTCCTTCAAAGCCCATTTGGGGCTCTTCTCTATGCTCTTATTCGTACTGTTGTTTCTAGGGTTTATAGACGTCTCGTTGGGAAAGAAGAGGGCGGTGAGCATACCGGACGATCTTGACGACGTGGTCGACGACGAAGAGGACGAAGCGTGGAGAGAGTGGGGGAGGAAAAAGGCCAAGGAGGAGGAGGGATTCAAGCCGCCTGATCTCTCCAAGATGAACCCGATGGAGATCCAGGCCGAGATGCTGAAGCGCCACGTGGGCCCCGCCTTCGGATTCGTCAAGCTCCGCCTTGGGATCTCCCGTACCCAGGTCACGATCGATTCCCTCCCCGAAGAAATCGTCTTTTTTTTTTATTCCAATCTTGTGCGTCTTTTATGCTGCAGTTATCACCGTTGTGTGGTGTTCTCCTGATGTGACTTGGTTCTTGGTTTTTTTATCTGATGTCTGAAACTGCTGTAGATGAGGTTGGAATGCTTCCAAATAGCTTATGGGATCGAATCCGGACAGAAATTCTTTGACATGAACATAACGCTGTGTATAATTTTTTTTAAAGAACAACTATCTATAATATATATTTTTGCACTTAATCAAATTTTCCGATCACCAAACAGAAATGGTGGCAAAATCCCATTACTTATTCCGGCATCCAATGATAGGCATCATAACTTGTTGGTTTTGCCCAAGAGTCGTTCTCATTGCTCCTGTTTAGAAGAAAATTTTGATTTAAACCCAATCCAACTTTAAAAAAAAAAAACCAACCCAGTCTCCTTTTATTTACAAGGATCGACCCACTTCGCGGCCACATCAGCATCGTGGCCGCGAAGTGGGGCGGTTTTTTTAATCGCCCTGGCTAAATAGTCGAGGTTGTCAACCACGACAATTTTGCACGCCCTAGCTAATATACAGGCTAAACTAGTCGGGGTTGGCAATCTCGACTATAATTTAGCTTGTGTATTAGCAAAATAGTCGGGGTTGGCAACCCCGACTATTTAGCAATGAGATTAAAAAAAAATCACCCCACTTTGCGGCCACGAAGTGGGCGTAATTTTTTTAAACTCATTGCTAAATAGTCGGGGTTGCCAACCCCGACTATTTTGCTAATACACAAGCTAAATTATAGTCGAGATTGCCAACCCCGACTAGTTTAGCCTGTATATTAGCTAGGGCGTGCAAAATTGTCGTGGTTGACAACCTCGACTATTTAGCCAGGGCGATTAAAAAAACCGCCCCACTTCGCGGCCACGATGCTCTAAATAGTCAGGATTGTCAACGCCGACTATTTTGCTAATATACAAGCTAAATTAGTCGGGGTCGGGGTTGCCAACCCCGATTATTTTGCTAATATACAAGCTAAATTAATCGGGGTTGGCAACCACGACTAATTTAGCTTGTGTATTAGCAAAATAGTCGGGGTTGATAACCCTGACTATTTATCAAAATCGTCCGACTTCGCGGCCACGATGCTGACGTGGCCGCGAAGTGGGTCGATCCTTGTAAATAAAAGGAGAGCGAGTCGGTTTTTTTATAAAAAAGTTGGATTGGGTTTAAATAAAAAATTTCTTCCTGTTGTTTAATTTCGTATTTATTTCTTTCAGTGTGATACCCTGATGTCTCTATATATTATATGTTGTTTTAAATAGCTCGGTTTCTTTTGTACCTTCAGAGTGTTTTCCGTTATACGTCTAGCTATTTTAGTGATGAGAATGCGGTGTTATTTTCGATTGACCTAAACGTGATGAGCATCCATCGCATTTTTAGAATGTCAAGGCGCGCAGATGGTCATTTAATATAGACTGACTTTTGCTTTGTGATTAACTCTTTCAGGAGGAAATTACTACGACTGCTATGAGGTGGAGCAAGGTTCTCCGTACAGGATCAGTCGAGGTTAAGTTTATGGGTGTTGATCTCAGTACAATCATGTTTACCATAGAGAGAGGGCAGGATATAGAAGAGGTACACGGTTTTTTCCCCACTTGAACATCAATTAATAATTATTTCCTCCATATTTACAATTATGGATTATAATAAATATGTGACCTTATTGTTCAGTTCACCGTTTCATCTGTTTGGCTTAAAAGGTCGACAGTATTTTTCCTGATTGCAGCTATATTTCAACTGTAGGCCATATAACCAAACCTGTGTAGAACAATGCATGGTTGGTGTAGTTCAAATTTAAGTATGACCATGGTTTCTTATTCTATGATGATGAATTGAAGGCAGAACTTTATCTTTAATAACAGTTCTGAGGCATATGTACAAGGACCTGAACCTGGATGCTAAGAGTCCATTCGAAACGGTAGCTTATGGAGCTAAACGAGTTGACTATTTGACTGCATTCAGTATTATAGGATTTAGAAAAAGAAGCAAGTGAACAGATAACTTTAGGTTCATATATTTTAGACTGAACCACACTTCGACATTATGTATATAGTCACTGATACAATAATAAAACAGTTGGAGCTGTAAGTTTTGATTATGTTTGCAACACTATTGGCTGGACTGAAACAGTGCTCAATCCGGATGCCTTACTGTCAACTTTGACAAAGTTCCATCTACAAGTATTGAGACTAGCAATAGCTGAAGCAGGACTGACAGGATCCTTCTATTGAGTGATTCAATAAAAGAATCCTCAAAATTGCATGGTATATCAGTAACAATGTTTGTATAAACAACAGCAAGAACAATAAAGTCTTTATCCCAAAATGTTGGAGTCAGTTACATGAATCTTATTCTTCCATTCAGTTCATTCAGTTCTTTTATGGGTTATCTTCACCTTCAAGTTAGTTCGTATACTGCAGAAAATAATTCATTTGCATAAAAATTCGTCCCACATACGAGATTTGTTTTCTGTAGTTGAAAGAATTTGTTCTGAGCCAGCCAGAAGCATATGAGATGAAGATAGGGGGATTTGTTTTCTGTAGTTGAAAGAATTTGTTCTGAGCCAGCCAGAAGCATATGAGATGAAGATAGGGGAGCAAACATTTCGAAGGCCGGAAAGAATTTGTTCTGAGCCAGCCAGAAGCATATGAGATGAAGATAGGGGAGCAAACATTTCGAAGGCCGGGGGATCCACCTCTTGAAGAAGTCATTGAGATGCTGAGGAGGAAGAGAAATGGTGACTCTACTTCAGATCAGCAGCACCCCGAAGATGAATTATAATCCAGCAATATTTCATGTATTTCCTTTTCTTGCCTTGACAATCTAACAAGTTCTCTTAATGCAATTTATCAGTCTCTGCGAATTGCTTTTTTTCATTTCTCTTCGAATTTCTAATGCTCTTCTGTGGGATTAGTGTAGATATGATCCATGCTCTTGTTTAGCTGTAATGACAGATTGTATGCTAGCACTTTATCGTCTTTTATCTTTCTAGTATGAATAACGCTCCTTTATGAAAAAACCCTCAAAGTTTCCTCACGCCAACATTAGCGCCCCATGCTTTCATTTCCTACGGTTTATAACCTTGAAGTTTTCTCAAAAACCATCTTCATATCGTTTGTTATCTTACTGTTGCAAATATAATCATTAAAAAAAATTCCCTGTGAGTTTCACGTCATATTCTGACTTACTTATCCTCCTTGATGATATACTCGAAAATTACTTAAACAAATTGGTATACGTTTTTTTTTTCATTTTTTTATTTTTACACAAGTATAAGTGGCACATGTTTATGAAGTGCTTCTGCAAATTTAAGATATGGATGCACGCAGTATCATATTAAGATGACTTTCTTCTTCATATAAGATGATTGATTAACAATAGAATGTGAAATCCTAAGAGTTCGGTTATAAAAGCTTATACTAATATTTATATACTCATGATAAGTTTTAAATGAAAACTCACTTGATCTTCTTTGATTCGTATTAATTTATTTTCATTTTCACTCAAGAAATATCATAATCGACTTTTAATATTTATACGCTTGTGTATCTCAAGCGGGCAAAAGAAGATTGAATCTAGCTTGTATTTACTAGTTGGTTGTCCTAGTAATGTAGTGGCGGCTTTGAATAAGGACACAAGCTTAACAACAACTACGAGCGTAAAAACAGTAAAAAAGTATTGACGAGTTACAAGATTTCATCACGGGGCTGCTTGGTACATTGCAAGTATAATTGCAGCAAATGTGGCATGTAGAAATCGTCGCATGCTGCCTTTATTGTAGGAAATAAACCTCAAATTCATTGTCTTGATATCTACATTTTTATTATTGCAAGTGTATTTCCAAATCCAAATCTAGCATTTAATTTGTTGCAAAAGTTATTAGATTTATATATTTTTTACCATAGGAGATGCGTATTCATTGCAATCAATTGTTTGTTTCTATGTAAATGTGAAAAAGATCTACACTTTTTGAGTTAGGATTAACTATTTTGATGATGCAGCATTAATTAATTAATTTATCTAGTTAATGCAAACTTACAATATTTGTTGCGACCAAATTGGCTAAAGCAAATGTTGCAATGTAAACTCCATTACCATATGTTGTGCCTTTGGTTTACCCTGAAGTGGTACCCAGTGCTTGAAATTCGACTGAGGAAATCGAATGCCTAGAACTCTTGAGAGTTGACTAGGTCTTTGGCAGCAATGAGGCTAAATGACAACCCTGATGTTCGGTGCCTAGGTCTTACGTACGTAAGTGCCTAGTCTTCATAATCCCCGTATTATCGAATGGTCGAATGGCGACTCTGGGAGTCTGTAGGCAATAAAAATTGCCTGGGTGTCAAAGCCCGCCTGACTAGCCCCGTCTGCCAATAAGCTTGGGCTCGTTTGCATTCAACATAACCCAACAGAGCTCGCCCGCAAAGCTTAACCTCGCATGTTTATTGAGCTCACCCGTAGAGCTCAATCTCGCCCAATTGTAGCTTTTTTTTAACTAAATCTAAACTCAAACCATATTGATGCAGGTTTTGCAATATGTAAATTCAATTACCATAACTAACTACATTGTTGCAAACCAGACATTATAAGTAGAAATTTTGTTGCTAAATTTACCATTGTAAGTCTATTTCATGTGAAACAAACCGTCCCTACAAATCAGTTTGCTGTGTTGGCCTTCTTGTTTTGATAATGTTTAACAAACAATTTACCACTAATGTTGTTTGTCTAGTATTTGTGTTTTCCTATATATTATAGACAAACAACGTTGTTGGAGGTTGGATGGATTAAGCCTACACGATCATATCAAGAGGAGGTTGGCGGAATTGAAGAGTAAAGCATCGTACAATTCAAGTTCAAGATCCAAGTTTAGCTTCATCCGCAACGTGTACCAAGTTGAGCTCAATGAAGATCAAGATCATTGCTTGGGTAACTTTAGTTTAGTTGTTATATTATGTGTGTTAGATACTCTAAGCTCAATATAATATACACACACAATTTATTGGTTTCTTCGTATATATATATATATAGTTATATATATACATAAGTTTTGGTTTCTATGCATATATATAGTTATATATATACATACATAGTTTTGAGTTTTCATATTTTCTATTGTGTTTTTGAAAACATTGCATAGAATATGCAATTTTGTGAAAATATTATATTCTTAGTTTGTAGACTTCAATATCAGTTTATACATGTTTTACTAAGTCTATAAAAACATTTCACAAAGTTTCAAAAGTTGGTTTATGTCAAAACATCAAAATTCATGTGTCTACATTTTTATGTTTTGGACTATTTTGTAAAATGATGATATTTTTCATTTGGGAGGTCCTTTCTGATAACCAGTCGCTGTAGCATGTTTATTATCATGTCTACAATCATTCCCCAAAGTTTTACATTTTTTAGAATTTATTTGATATTTTTAAACAGCGTTTTAAAATCAGCAAAACAGCTTTCAGACTTCATTTTTCATGTATCAGATTTCGGTCGACCGAACCGGTCGACCGATCATTTGATCTTTCTTCACTGGGGGTCGGTCGACCGGTCCGGTCGACCGAGAGCTCCATCGGTCAACCGCACCGGTCAACCGACGATGGTCCAGAACAGTTCATAGGTTTTTTGCTCTCCATCGGTCGACCGACAGAATTTTCGGTCGACCGACAATAGATCCGTTGCTTTCCCAACGGCTATTTCTTGAGCTGTTTGTTGGGCTGTTTTTTGTCATTTTCTTGGGGTTTTGGCTGATGTCTTGGGTTGTTATAAATACCCTATTGCATTTACCTATCCCATCTAACAAGAGAATGGGTTAAAAGATTTTAACAAGGGTTTAAACTTGTTTAGTGTTTGTTTAAGTTTGTTTTAAGAAGCTTCTAAGCATTTGAGTGTTTCGGTTTTGTGATTCAATTCTACAAGAGCTTGAGGAGATCATCTATTGGTGTTTGGGCATCCAACTCTTCTCCCTCCACTCTTGATATATTGAGAAGTTTTCTAAACTCTATTTCTAGCTATTTTATATATTTGATTATCATTGTTATTTAGCTAGAACTACATTGAGTTTAGTTTTGATTTATATCTCTTTGTTCACACACAACCTTTTGAGCTTATTGTATTTACATTCATAGTATAATTTGGGGTTGTGGGTTTGTGACTAAGAGTTGTGCTTAATTGAGTTCTCACCTTGTTTAGAGAACAATCAATTGATTTATATTGTGCTTAATTGTGAGGATTCACTTGTAATACACTTGTACACCGAGAGAAGTGTGTGGTGAGAGACGGGGTCGAATCCAAGAGGAGTGGCGTCGGTTGACGTGCCTAGGGAGAGGTTGTAACCGAGCACTTGAGAAGGAGGACACGGGCTAGGACCAACACTTAGTGTGTGAGGTGTGATTACATAGTGATTGTATTGTGAGGTGTAAACGTTGTTCGGGTGAACGTAGAAAACCCGGTTGTGATAGTGGAGATCTCCTCGAGGTGAGGAGCGGGGACGTAGGTCGTGGGGACCGAACCTCGTAAACATATCGTTTTGTTTGTGATTGCATTGGCGTTCTTATTCTTGTTTTCATATCTTATATCGCCTTTGTGTATTGCTCATCATATTACCCTATCACTTGTGTAGATTGTTTATTTTACCCTTGTGTTAGTTCATATATCCTTGCTCATATATTTGTAATATCTCATTGATAGGATATATTCATTTGTTCATATTGCTTATCCTAGCTTACGTATCTTGTTGTATTTTATACTTGCTAGGATAACTTATTAATTAGTTTTAATTGACATTTAATCGGATTAGATTAGCATAAGACCCTATTCACCCCCCCTCTAGGGTCTAACATGCTGTTCGCATTCAGTAAACACATGATCATACCTATAAATCACATTGGATATTCAAATCAAATTCATATCTCCAGTCAATCTACCAATGTTCTCATAAGAAGATCCAACTTGTATGGTTGCTTTTGTTGAGTGCTGTGGAAGCCAAACAACCAAACCAACGTGCTACGAGAAATCAAATCAAACGAACGTCAAGAGAAGACCAAACGAACCAAATCAATGTCACAAACAGAAACAACCAATTTTAACGTGGTTCCACAAGTTGCCTACGTTCACCACTACCACATAATTGATCTGTTGCAGCGGTTAAGGCGCAACGGTTTTAACTGTTGTGTTAGATATCTATCGTAACGGTTTGCAATGCCTAATACAACATTTACTAAAAAAACGTTGCCATAGACCAAATAATTGTTCCTGGGCTTAATAACAGTTAAGTTTGTAAAGCCCATTGACCGCTTAAACAAAATTCTTCTCGCTCTTTCAGGCTTCTTCAGGTCCGCCTCTTTTCTAAAGCCTCAAATTTCCTTCACTTCCTCTCTCTCGTCTCGAATCTAGGGTTCAGTCTCCGATCCTCCCCTTGTCGCCATGGACGCGATTGAATCCGTCGTTGATCCCCTCCGCGATTTCGCGAAGGACAGCGTTCGCCTCGTCAAGAGATGCCACAAGCCAGATCGCAAGGGTAAGCTCGATCATCATCATCATCATCACTAGATCCATCCAAATTACACACAATTTTGATTTTGATTGGTTTCGATCTCGCAGAGTTCACGAAAGTGGCGTTTCGGACCACGATCGGATTCGTTATTATGGGATTCGTTGGGTTCTTCCGCAGAGTTCACGAAAGTGGCGTTTCGGACCACGATCGGATTCGTTATTATGGGATTCGTTGGGTTCTTCGTCAAGCTCATCTTCATCCCCATCAACAACATCATCATCGGATCTAGTTGAGGTGAATCCTGCAGATCTAAGATCTGATAGTTCTATAACTTTTTGTTATTGTCTCTAATCTCGTACTTTTGTGCAAAAGATCTCCCTTTTTTTTAATTGGTAATCTTGGATACAGGAGAATTGGGCAATCAGAGTGAATGCTTATAGGAATTAGAGTACTCTGATGTAATACTATGTTTTATTTGTTATAAGGTGATTTAACCATCATAATCCTTTGTTAATTCACGTATCTACTTGTATTTTAAATTCATCCCGCAAATCTTGTTGTTTAGTAATTGACCTCGAAATGATAATTAACTGGCTATTATATATGTCTGATATTATATCCCGCAAATCTGAGATCCTAAGCATGTTTGGCAGCCAGAAAGTAAATACTCTATTTTCATAATACACATGAACAGAAACTTGTTTAGGTAGGAGCATACATCTCAATTATTTTTTTAGAGGATTCTTTATAAATTTTGGATTTTCTAGGGATCGTATATAGTTTTTTTAATTTTAAAGCGGAGGGTTTATAATTTTCTGAATTATATATATATTGTTCATAATATTTGGATTATTCAAGGGTTTATTTATAATTTTGAATTTTTTTTTCATCTTCATAGGGCAATTTGCAATTTATAGATGTTTCAAATATGTTTGTAATGTTTGAAACTTTCATGGCCTTTTTGTAAAATTCTACTCAAATGATCAAAATTGAAAGCTGAAATGACATGCAATGGAATTATTGGGATCCAAGACCTTTAAAAAGTATTGGTAATGTGGGCTAGTGAACCAGTGAAAGCAATTCAAGGCCAGTTCCTCTCAGCCAAATGCCAGAGCCCAATTACAGATGTTACGAACAGTTCATGTGTCAGGAGTCTTTATTTCCTTGCTCTTTTGCCTTCTGAAACAAACAGACACAAACACATACACATTTTGCCTTCTGGAATCTTTGTTTTGATAGTTATATCCTAAAAGCTTAAGTTGTGGATCAAAAACTTCAAAACTGTGAGTTTCCTCAATTGTTTGGTGTGTTACTTTGATATACATAACATTATATGTTTTGGTGTAGATTAGTGAATGGTGTGTTTTTGTTTCGTAAGGCTGACTCGTTAGATAAATTTGAAAGAAATTTATCAAAAACTATAAAACCATGTGTTTTCATAGGTTGAAGTTTGGTATGTTGTTTTGGTTGCATAAGATAAATATGATCTGGTCTGAAAACAACAATGCCTGAAATGGTGAACACACCCTCCCTTACCAATTGCCATGTTTCCAATCCCATCACCCTCTGACCTGTTTTTAAAGTGTTTGTAGAGGGACTAGTTTCAAAATATGAATGACTAGTAGGACTCGTATCAGGAGAGGAAAAAACCCCTTATATATGATTGTGCATTTTGTTTAGAAATGCCTAAACATCTAATAATTTTATTTATTTTTATTAATTTATTTGTTGGTTGTTAGTACAGTCAAATGACAGTCTGTTCTTGCTTCGTCTTTTTGGATACTTTTTTCATAGGGGAAAGTATAAAAGTGCTACTCCTCTCCAAAGCTCTTACTTTCATGTGAGCGTGTGATTGAGTGCTTTCACAATTTTGAGTGTGGGTCAGTAGAGAGTGACCACATCTTTGAGCCTGTTTTGATTTTATATTTTCTTATGATCTAGTGATAGTTTCTGCAGTAGGTGGATAATGTTTTTAGGTTCGAGAAGTACTTGGTAATTTAATGCATTGGATGATTTGTTAGCATTGTATATTCATTTATCTCCATAGTTTTATTTGAACAAACATTATCACTATATTTTCTTATGATCTAGTGATAGTTTCTGCATTGGAGTTCTGTGAAGCTCTTAAAGGTCTTGATAAAATAAGTAAACAACTAGTTCTAGATATTGAGAAGCTAGCAGACACAAAATAAAGTCATAATCTTGCGAAGCAAGTCCATTTGGTAATTATTGCATTTAAAAGCACAATCCATCATTTGTACTTTAAAGCACCATGGCTTTTATTTTTCTCATTTATTTTGTGAAGCAATTGTAGGTGTTGTTTTTGCTTACAGCAGTGTTAATTGTACTCTTTGAATAACTCCCGAATGCAAAGATATATATCTTTCTTGTTGAAGAATTATGATCTATTCAAGAAGATCACTATTTGAAAGAGCAAACACACCTGACCACCAAGTCGTCATTCGTGCACTTGTCTAGGGTTCACCCAATCGATGTACGCATGTCACTGAGATATTTAGAGGTCCGGCCTTTTTTTAGTAAGAGTTTGGAGGTCATTGGTTTGAATTTTTCCTAACAGGCTCTTGGAAGCACTAATGCGAATCATGGGAGCACGTGCAGTGTCCGGGCTTCTTTTGAGAGACAACTGACCATCAGTGAACTGAAGACTGAGGAACGAAATCAGAAACTTTCCAGATATAGAAAGAAGAAGAGCAAAAGGAATTTCGGAAGAAAAATCAAGGTATTGCACTGCTAAAAAAAAAGAACATCCTTAGAAGACATCCCTTGTTTACAATCTCAATGCTACTAAGCAGAATTTGCATGAAAAAAAAAGAACATCCTTAGAAGACATCCCTTGTTTACAATCTCAATGCTACTAAGCAGAATTTGCATGGCCAATTTGTTCTTTCTAGTGACATAATCCCTTGTTTACAATCTCAATGCTACTAAGCAGAATTTGCATGGCCAATTTGTTCTTTCTAGTGACATAATTTGTGTATTTGCAGTATGCATGCAGGAAAGCCTTAGCAGACAGTCAGCCGAGGGTCCGAGGGAGGTTTGTGAAAACTGAAGATTGTGATTTTTCAAAAGCACTCAAGTAAAGTGAGATATGTTGGAACGATTAAAAAAAAAAGATTTTAGAGGCTAGTATTAATCAGTAGTGCCAAGTTAAGTAAATCTAATCGTGGCGTCTAAGTTCCAACATGATATTTGATACGTTTCAGTTTGTTGACTAATATGATATTTGATACGTTTCTTTATTTTTTGTAGGGGATATAAAGACTTAAATAGGAGAATGCGGTCAAGATGGCTTTGATATATGAATCTTTTGGAACAGACTTGTACTTGTGAATTGATCATATTTTGATGGTTGTGAATTGATCATATTTTGATGGGTTGAAGTTACCTTGTAACTACTTATTTTTGAATGATGAGCTTAAAATATATGAATGCTTCATTATTTTTCATTTTGATGATATCTTAATGTAGTGTGTTCTTATTCCATTTTTATTTTGGTTTACGTAACTGTGTTTGCTTATTGGTCAAATTTCTTAAAAAGTGCTGATATAGCCCTGTAAAACTGTTGCCGTAGCCTTATAAAACTGTTGCCATAGCAAAGCAAAACGTCGCATTAGCTACAAAATAAATGTTGCATTTGGTCCCTGATTTTGGAAAAACCGCTGCCCTTGTGTATGAAACCGTGATATTAGGTATCAAGAAACCATCGTTTGCAGCTGTTGCATTTGCAATAACTGTTGCCTTAGTGTATGGAACCGCTACATTAGGCATAAGTAAACCGCTACAGAAAACGTTGCATTTTGTGAAAACTGTTGCGTTAGCCTCGTCTTAGAAACCGTTGCATTAGGTTGTGAAACCGCTGCCTTATGGCTAGGGCAACGGCAATAATAAAGACAGATTGTTAACCGCTGCGCTTGTGCAATTGCAACGGTTTAGATGCTAATGCGACAGTTTTAAACCGTTGCGTTAGAGCAAATATGTGGTAGTGCACGGGGCAAGAAGGGGATAGAGTTTTTCACTAATAGAGAAGAAGAGTACAAACTAAGATTATAAATCACTCAAACTCACCAATTAATCTCACCAACAAATCTCTAATTCTCTCCAAACAAAACCCTAACCAATAACTCATAATACCTCTTTTATGTGCTCTAAATATCCCTAATTTTCTTCTCAATTCTCTCTTCCAATTGTTCTATATATATAAAAATCCTAAAATCATAAACATACTAAGAATTCTAAAACAAAAAACAAAACAGATTAGGAATCCTAATAACCTGTTACCAAAACAGATTTGGAATCATGTTACCAAAACAGATTAGGAATCCCAATAACCGTTACCAAAACAAATTAGGAAACATATTAGTAACCTGCTATCCAATAATTCTCCACCTTGGCGAAGTTTTCTCAAAACTGAGCCGACACCAATACCAACCAAACGTCTCACTTGTTGTGTCCAGTACAAAGTGGAACAAATCCACTACAACAGATTCAATCCATAACAAGTCGAGAACCCAAACGAGAGTCAAATGTTACATACCTGCTGTGATATCCCAATGATCTGATCAACACTCTCTACCTGCCGAGAGTCAAATGTGACATACATGCTTAGAACAAAATCAGAAGCTCTTAACTGATAATCAAACGAACCTCTAAATCCCAAACATGCAATCGAATCAAATCTCACATCCTTGATGTGACCAAATGTTGGGCAACCAAATATCCGACGCAACCTAAAATCTGAAGTAGCTTCACCAGATCCAAAATCTCCACATGCAGCAGTCGACAACCTATGACCAAGATAACCCAAATATGTCAAAGCTCCAAAACCAAAACCAATTCTCGATAACCAGCACCGATCACCCTCCAGTAAGGAACGACCCATCAAAACTGTCATCTCATCTCGTCGCCCCAATGTCTCCACATCAATGAAGTGTCTCAAACTGCCATAAGCTCGGCACAAATGCAAGAAAGAATCCCTATCAAAGCTAGAACGACGGGTTACATTTCTGCCAATACACTTCTTCCAATTGTTATTGACTTCTAGGACTTCACACCAAAGGGACCTGGTTGCAACCCACCAATACCTAGAACAATCCCCAACTGTGGAAACCAAATACCGATTACCTTCCAATGATGCCTCCTTGGAAGGCCTCCAAATGCCTGACTGAACACCACCCAAAAGACCCCTCGATCGATGGATAGAAGTGCCAAACTCCACCTCGGTCTTCTTGCTCATACCAATGTGCTCAAAGGACTTCAATCTGCAGGTCAAAGCACTCCTCAACAAACCATGCACGATATAACCAATCAAATAACTCAGCCTTAACAAATGCCATAGTCTAGCCAAATCCAAAGAAGTCGTTAGCTCTGTATCAAACACCGTGCTCCCAATAATACAAATTATTCCTCCTGACGCCCTTCATCACAATCATGGACCCCAATGTGAGTACATCAGTGCACTTAGACTGATTAGGAAAAGAAGAAATAGGAAAACTAACCCTATGTTATTTTCCTAGCACACAAGATTCACAGAAAGGGATGAGGATATTTTATCACTACCAAAGTGACCTCCTTTATCCAAAATTTCTAATCCTTTATTACTCATGTGACCTAATCTATTATGCCATAAAACAGATTTATCACCTATCACAGAATTAACAGAATCAAGCACATGTTCAACGTGACAAACATATAAGTTATTTTGTTTTTTAGCAGTAAAAATAACAAACGACCCTTTCAGAATTTTCATAACCTATTTACCCCATTTTCCTTCCAAACCATCATTTTCTAGAGATGCACAAGAAATCAAGTTATAATGTAAATCAGGAACATACCTTACATCCTTCAAAGTAAACACAGAACCAGAAGAAAACCTAAGGCATACATCACCAGTTTCTAAAACATTGTATTTATTTTCATTTGTCATCGACACAAAGCCCTTCTCTATTTTCTTGTAGTTTGAAAACATGTTTTTAAATGGAGTCATATGAAAAGTACAACCAGAGTCTACCAACTAATCTGATTTATACAAAGAATCAGATAACACAGAGTTTAAATATGCATAATCACAAAGATTATTAATCATAAAAATTTCACCCATTTTCCCCTCATAGACAGCCATATTAGCATGATTATTTTGCTGATTTTTCTTAGACTTAGGACAATCTTTAATAATGTGACCAGTTTCATGATAATTATAGTATTTTTTAACTTTAAACCTGGACTTAGATCTACCATTTCCATTTTCGATTTTTTTCTACGTGATTCCCCATTACTAGCACTCTTTTGGTTATTAGACCTATTCTGAGGCCTACCCCTCACATGCATAACCTCACCAGAATTTTTATTTCCTACAGACTGTTTTAAATCTAATTCCTTACTCTTAAGACCATTGGTCACAATGTCAAGGGAACCTCATCTCTACCATATTTAATAGCAGATTTAACATCACTATATGAGTTAGGAATAGCATTTAGAAGGGCAATAGGAGTATAATCGTCTATATGTTTATCACCAGTTAACTTAATATCTGAAATAAGTTTTGTGAAAACATCTAGGTTCTCCTCAATGTCCTTAGACATATCCAATCTAAATTTGAAAAAAAAATTCAAGAAAAAATATTTTACTGGCAAAGAGGTTTCGGTATAGAGTTCTTCAAGTTTATCCCAAAGGATTTTAGCAGATTTCAAAATTCTAACTTTTCTAAGCATAAAGTCAGATAAGTTCAAATAAATTATGGAAAAAACATTTTCGTTTATTTCAGCCCTTTTTTCTTCAGTATCAGAAGTCAAATAAGTTTGACCAACAGCCCTAAAAGACTTTTGTTGAATCAAAATGCGTTTTATTTTTTGTTTCCAAATGCTAAAATCAGATTTTTTGTTGAACAGAACCATACCATATTGATTAGCAGAAGACATTTTTCACACAGAAAACAAATAGCAACTAGCACGATGATTTCGGTGATTATCCGGCTCGAAACGTGTGAAGCAACTAGTACGAACAAATAAGAAGAACGATGAACACATAATTCTTGTTTCAATCTCTTTGTTCTTTCACATGAGCACAAACAATAACAAAAACTATTTTTCAGAAAAATAAAATGCAACTATTGCTGAAAAAATTCAGAATTTTACTGTAAATTTCAACAAAGTCAGGGCTTAACTGCAGTGGAAAGAAAACACTGATAAGAGTTTGTTTTTCAGTCAATTCACCTGAGCAAAATCCTAGGAGAGGGTTTCGACCTTACCCATGGGGCGGTCCGGTGGCGTTCCTGCGGCGGTCCGATGGCGGTCCTG